CAACTTGTTTTTTACCCAAAAACATTTAGAAAACACCATTGAAACCTTGTTAAATTAATTTATGACTTTATAAACCAGAAAAAAAAATCACCACAAAACATAAAATCTTCTCGAGCTCATGTATTTTTTAGGCTATTTCAAAGTAAAAAATAAAAAATAAAAAACTTAATCTTAACTCCTCGTACCATATGAAACCATTTGACAAAAAAATTAATGTTTTGAATGGCTAGAATTATCTCCAACGAAAACTTTCTCTCTCGATAGTGGAATCTAGTAACCCCGTCTCTCTCCTCAACAAAAAAAACACTAAAAAGAGAGAAAAATAAAATTTGGTATCAAAATTAAATTTAGAGGGACTAGTTACTTAATATCTATAAAAGATGGGGGATTGAAATGAATTTTTCATACAAATTTCAAATCCGTCACCTATTTTACTCACTCTTTTCACTTAAGTCTTATGTTTTTCAATTCAACCCTCCCTTCCAAAAAGAAATATGTAATTGGGTGTTAGTTTGACCTCAAAAGGTCTCAATTATATATAATACAAGTTCGAGGATAAAATTAAATTTTTTATAAAATCACTAATGAAATCTACAATGATGTATAAGAAAATGAATAATAACATAATTATAGTAAAACCTCTATTTTGTTTTAGCTTATACTATAACTATAATTATAATAATAAAAGGAGTTGGTGCTAAGTTGGATGCATAATGTATATTTTCAAGGTTGACAACTTTAAATTATGCATGGTCAATTGATGAGATGTGTGTCTATATAAACAATGACTCTGCTAAATTTGAAGTTGTCATCCCTGGAAATCTAATATTATATAACCATCTTAGCAACAATTCTTTTTTATATTTGTGTGATATATATAATGTTAATTAATAATTAATAATTTTTATTTTTAAAATTTTGGTTGTGAATCCTTTTTTTTTTTCATGATTGCAACCTTTTGAAGAATTAAAAGACAATTGGATCAAGTTTGTTAACTAAGGATAAAATTGAAAGGCAAATAACCTAAGTGTAAATGGCAACACAAGTGGGTGATAATTTCAAAATTATATCAAAGATAATTTACTTTAATCCTCAAAATTCACATATTATACACATTTAGTCCCTTAATAGTTTTACAATTCAATTTTGGTATAAAAAATTATTTTTATTATTTTTTAATTCCTAGTTTGAAAGAGTAGATAAAAAGATTGTTAAATTCTAGCATTAGAGAGAAAAAATCAGCGTTGACACCAATTTCAACTAAATAAATTATGTTTTGATATTAAATATTTTGATTTACATTTGCCTCTCAACTTTTTCAAATACATATTTAGCTGTTAATGATTTTTTCATTAATTGACACATATGGTTCTTGATTTATATAATTATATATGTGCACAAACTTTTTGATTTGCACTCATTAGTTTTTATGTAAAAAACATGTCGAAAAAGCTTGCATGTTTAATTTTTTTGTTTGAAAAAAAAATCTAATCCACGATGAAGTGTGAGTACAATAACTAGTAAAACTGATGAAGTGTGAGTACAATAACTAGTAAAAATTTAAAGATATAGCTAAATTATTGTAGCCTTACTTGCAAAACTCATTGGAATGATGTTTTGTTTTGTTGTGTTGTATTTTTCTTTTTGTTTAGTATTTTTTTCAATTTAACTTTTCAACAACCTTTTTTTTCCTTTAATATTAGGTTATTTTGGAAATTGTACTTTCTATTTTTTTATTTCCTTTATGTTCTGTTATATACTGATTTCATAGAATTAGTTTTTCTTCTTGATTTCAACTTTTAATGTTAGATATGTTAAAAGTGTAGTGTCATATTATTTTTTTTTATTTTCTTCTTATGAATTTATCCTAATCTTATGATATAAATTGTGAGTTTAACAGATTAACTTGAGTCGACTCGGGTTTGTTTTTTTAGGCCATTTTTTTTAATTGATTTTTTTTTCGATTTCATCCTTCAATATTGAGTTGATTGAAAATTAAGTTTTCTAATTTTTGTTATTTATTTTCTATGAGATTATCTCGGTCTCATTTTGCGAGTTTGACAAGTTGACCCGGATTAACTCTGTTTATTTATTTTTGTTTCTTTTTTAACTTTAATATGTTTTTAATTGAGATTTTTATTTTTTTTATTTTATTTTTATGAGGTTATCCTGATCTCATGACTAAGTCATGATTTTAACAGGTTAATTCAGGTTGAATTGATTATTTTTTTTGTCATTTTTTAATTGAATATATATATTTTTAAATTTCACTCTTCACAATTTATTTATTTTTTAATTTTATCATTCACTATTAAGTTGTTTAAAAATTAAAATTTATAATTTTCTTGTGATTTGTGGCTATTAGGTGGTTCATGGAGGTATTTATAGTAATTTTAGGTGAAAATTGTTTAAAAAAAATAAAATTTTCAATTACAAAAACCCCCCTCTACTTTTATAACCACCATGGTTGAAATCTTGAAACAATTCAATAAACATGTTATCTGTTATTATAAATAACATGTTGCTTTTTTTTTATATATATATATAAAAAATAACATGACTTTTGTCTCCAAACAAAGCAAAAATAATTATGGATAGATAACATGATTTGTCCCCAAACAAAGCAAAAATAAATATTGGCCCAAACATATGGCTTATCTCATGCCCACATGCATGGGCTATTTGTAAAAGGGTGTTTGGGTATTGCTTTTTGTTTTTTTTTATTATTAATTTTATTATTTAATATTAAATTAATTTTGTATTTTTTTAATTATCCAATAAATAAATAAAATTAATTCAACTCAATGAGGCTTAACTTGACACTTCTTTTTTCCCTTGATTTATATATTTTTGGACATGCTGGACAGATCACATCAGACCAAGTTCGAAGGATGAAAACTCATGCTAATTAAATTAGAATAAAGTAACTCAGAACATGAATTATATATAAATTAAGGTCGCTTCATGCCAGCCAAACTTGCACTGTGCTCTTTGCATCTTTTTTACTTGTGCATCAGGAAGGAAGGGAATCCAATGGTTTTTCAGACTGGGTTGACCAACTGTGTAAAAGATGAATTCATACCTTTTGTTTTTGGATTTTAAAAATATTTTTAAATAAAATAATTATTTTATTTTAAATTAATATTTTTTGTGATTTTAAATTATTTTGATGCACTATATCTAAAATAATTTTTTAAAAAATAATAAAAATATTATTTTAATATATTTTTAAATAAAAAACACTTTAAAAAAATAATTATAATCATACTTCCAAACAAATATATCATAACAGCTATCTCATCTAACGCCTGATTTTTAAATTAGCCCACACCACCGTCACCACTAGCTGGATAAGCTTGGATGCCATTAATCAAAGCATTCTTATTATAAAACTCCACAAGTGGTGTAATTAACCTTTCTAGAGGAATGCCATCGTTTAAACCACTTCCTTGTATTTGCCTTGAAACATTTCCTTTTCGCCAAAGCTTTCCAAATGAGAAAATTTTAGACCAATTATTCACTATTGTTACACGCAATGAATCCCAAATTAAAGCTACTTGACCAAATTGACAGTCTCTATTTTGAATCACTGTGTTTTGAAAAAACAAAATTACTTTTGAAAAACATAATTGTGTTTTTTAATTTCATTTCTTGAATGTTTTTAGACTTCCTAGTATCAAAAATAAATTTTAAAAAATAAAATAAAATTATTTTTAATAAAGATTTGGAGACTTGATTGGTTCATTTAACTCAGTCGTTGGTGAAAAGATTACCTGGTGGCTATGGAAGAATTTCAAACATGCCATACCTACTTTTTTAGTGACTTTACTTTCATAGTGCCTTTAAGCCACTTAGATCCCGGTAGATTATTTTTTAAATAATTTTTTATGTTAAAATATATATTAATAATTTTTTTTATTTTTAAAAATTTATTTTTGATATTATTGTATTAAAATAATTTAAAAATATTTAAAAAATATTAATTCAAAATAAATATAAAAATATAAAAATTTTAAATTTTTTAAAAATACTTTAAAAACACAGCCATAACCTTCCCAGCCATTATATTTTCTTGACAGAAATAACATCCGACGACTTTGCTTCTCCATAAAAAGACGTTAACGGGAACACAAAACTCCTTAATCAAACCTACTCTCTTAATTTCTTCCTACCCTCTAGCTCCACATAATGGCAAGTTTACACCATTGGACCTCGTACCCTTCTAACCTCCTGGGCAAAGCGATGAACTAGTTCAATATTGGGAAGAAAATTTTCTCTGCAAGGATAGATGATCCATTCAGGATAATCTAGAAGCTTGTAATGTTCCTCTCTAGCACATATGATCACCACTCAGCAACAAGTTTCCTGTCCTTTTCTGGTCTGTTTATCAGAAAGGGTCCACTTTTATAGGCTAGGTCTTGTTGAATTAGTACTAACCATTAATTAGGTTGGAAATCGGACTGTTGCAGAACAGACGCAAGGGAATATTGTCACGCAAGATGAATAAAACTTGCATGACTCTAACCCTGATTTCTTTAGCCCTCTAAAGATTTGTGTGTTGTTCAGAAACAACATACGTAACCTGTCAACAACTCTTGACTTGAACTTCTCCAGCTTCACTTATAAATTGGATCTCAGCCAGACTCATTCCAGCCAATCAATTAAGGCTCCTATAATCCATAGCAATCCACCTGAAAAAACTTGTTCTGTTCTGAACTTCCGACTGTATCTTCTTCTCGCTGACTGCATCTCAGCCACTGGTGCAATTTTAGACCACTAGATTCATACTAGAGGGTCACTGCCTAGAACCGAAAGAGTGCATAGTTCGCGGATCGTCTGCAAGACGACACAAACCTAGATTGCCAAACTGGATTTCCTTCTTCTGAACTTTTCTATGAAATATCTGCGAGACCACAGTACACTTAGAAATTGTGAAATCCTCTTCCCTTGAAATTAATTATAAACCTCAACAGAAAGGTCTTTGGGCATTCAACATCTTCATGGCTATTACCTCAACACCTGCATTGTTTATTAGCATACTTCTCTCCTTAGTCCTCATTTCCTCTGCTCAATCATGCTCAAAGTACACCTTTCCAGGTAATCAAGCATTCAGTTCTTGCATCGACCTCCCTTTCCTACAGGCTCATCTCCACTGGAACTATATTCCATCCACCAGAACTGTTCACATAGCATATAGAGCCAACCAAACTTCTACAGGATGGATTGCATGGGCAATCAATCCAAATGGTGCAGGCATGGTTGGATCACAAGCTCTTGTTGCCTTTCATAATTCTAATGGGAGCTTGACTGCCTATCCAACCCCAATAACTAGTTATACCACATCAATGCGACCGGGAGCTCTCAGCTTTCACGTGTCAAACATCTCTGCAACATATGCAGATAATCAGATGAGTATCTTCGCTGTGCTGGGCCCTCTACAAAATGGAACTGCTGTTAATCATGTCTGGCAAGCTGGGAATTCAGTTATAAATGACATCCCTTCGAGTCATGCTACAACAGGACCAAATATTCAATCAATGGGGACATTAAATTTTCTTTCAGGATAGAAGAAAATATTGGAGGGGGGGGCTTGAAACACCTGTGTATTCTAGCCTCCCTGTGTTCAACTAGTCCAAGTACATCTGCAGGTTTCCATATTTAGTCATTTATTCCATCGCACTGTCATTATGAGCACATGTTTTCAGGTCTTCGTCTCTGCATAATAAATAGTGAAATCATGTATCTGGCAAATCCTAGTAGGTTCACTGTTCCAAGTCTCATGAACGCTTCCGTTTTCCAAGTACTCTACAATTCTCTGAATACTACAAACAGGACATTTAGAATTTTATCCAAGTATCACTTTAGTTTTAAGAAAGAGAGAGAGAAAAAAAAGCAAAAGAAAAAAAATGTTCACACCATTATGATACGTGGGTTAATAAATTGTTATATACATTTCCCCTAAAAGAGGGAAACAAACTTAAGAGATGCATGATAATTTCAATGTCATTGTATAGTCAAAATGAGAGCTCTTAACTTGTCAACACAACATCACTTGCCTAGTTAAAGTTCCACACAGTAGTAATACAATATGACAGTTGGACAATTTTTGAAAACTATTCATGTGTGGTTAAACATGTGTAACCACATTATCAATCAATTTCAGTAATTCCTCACACTTGGGCTGTGTCATTGGTAATTCCAGTGTCACCTGCCAAAATTGTTAGGAAAGAACTTTTAGTGGATATGTATTGATGTAAAAGATTTAACAGATATAAACACAACGTGCAAAGATAAGACCCACAGCTTGGGGTAATCACATGGGAGTAGGTTCAAGTCTTGAGATGTCAAAACACTTCATGAAAAAAAGTTAAAATGGTTGGATTATCCCCAAATTCTTCTATTCAGAGCCCCCATTTCACTGGGATCGTAAGTGGACAATGGCATTTTTAAGCATAGAGCAGAGGATCTAAGCCAATAGCTACATTAGACTATTCTAAACAATTGGAGAAGGCTATTCTCTTGAAGGTTAGAAATGCAAGGTCAGTTTTGATAAATAGTCTACCTTACAATTCAGCAAACAAAATGCTGTAATCTTCTCATTAGAAGTTAGCACGCTGCCTGAAAGAACAAAACCAGGCACCTATTGAATCCAGTTTAGGACAAAGGATGCCTGTTTCAACTTTCAATAAGCATTAACCACCTCAATTAGTTAAATTAAATGGTAAGTTCATGGAATCAACCTATTTTAATTTTTAAATACATTTGACTCCATAGTGTTCACCTATCCTTTTCTTTTGGCATGAAATGAATTGATGAGAAGTTAATCAACTACACAGGCTGAAGATTAAGCAGCAAATAAAATTATTTGATTTCAGAGTGATCCACTCCAGACCATCTCACGCTAGATATCAATGACAAGCATGCCCTTGATTACTTCAATAAATCAAGGCTGTGATCGCTTCAAAAGCTGCATAAACCAAAGTAAAAAAAATCTCACCTCTTTGAAGATTTCACTGCGAGAAGTCTCCTGAAAACCCTACACCAGACATGAAGAACTTCTGTCAACCTAACAGAGACTAGATGAAAGAGCGAGAGAATGAGCATAAATAACAATCACTAGCCCTTTAAAACCACATACAAGAGTCTGGAATTTGTCCATCTAAATATGGACTGTGTACATGCAGAAAACAAAACTTCACGAGCATATTGAGAGAGAGAGAGAGACCAAATTACAAAACATATTAAGAGATGATCCATTTGATTCTCCAATTTTAGCACGGAATACATGGATCCCAAGGTCCCGAACAGCATAGGCCATCATCATCAACACAGATTCCTTCCCAAGTCCTTTTCCACGACTATGCTAGAAAAGGAAAGACCATAAGAAATGAGGAAGAAAGAACTGCATAAATAACTCACTCACTTTGCACCCATCAAGAAGAAAGTACAAAGAAGAGTTGAAAGAATGTGTTTTATTTGGAATATTCTAAATTGATTGCCTAATAACATCTCCTGCATAAGATTTATCATTCATTGCCTAGTTAATAACAGATAACAACGTGAAAACAGGAGCCGGACTTGCCAAGGGTTAAATATGAGCTATAATATAACATCTTCTCTGGTTCTCAAAGAAAAATGAAATAAGAAAGAAACCAAAAGGAAAAGAAAAGAAAATGTCCTGAGAACTAGCTGTGATACACATGCTATCCCACTTCACTACACTTGACTTTGTACACTCTAGAGAGATTTTTAAGCATATTATTCTTCTACTTTTCACAAAGATATAACTGAACCATAAGAAAATCACGAAACCTCTGACTAAATTATAAATTAACTGGGAAATTAAGGTTTATTCCAAAAATTGTGAGAGCTCTCTACTTGACAAAGGTATATTATATTCCAATACATTTTTGCTAATGGTGAATCAACACGAATTCCATATTTTCTTCATTGCAACTTAAGAAGAATAGATTCAATGGGATGACTGCAGCTACTGTGAAGAAGCAAGAAAAATAATAGAAATACCTCTTTGGTTCAGCTATCATTATCTCGATCTCGGCCACTAGAGGATCATCCACATCATTCATGAATATATTTACATCACCTACCATAGCTGCAAATGGGTAAACTATTAATCCCTTGAAATGAAAAGCATTAAAAAAAAAAAACATGAAGGAAAACCTTCGACATGAGGATCTCCATGAACAAAACCAGCTTGTATCAATTCCTTATCCAGTACAATAAAAGTCCTTTCTGCAAACAACAATAATCAAAAGAAACATCACACTCTCCTCTTTTTTTGTAACAGAAAAGAGAGAAAGGGAGAGAATACTGAGGGGGTCTTGGGTCCAAGAGAGCTGCATCTGATACTCGTCTTGAAGCGATAAGAGCTCAGAGCCGGTGGCTTGGAGGAGAAAAGGGTCTTGCATCCAGTGGTGATACTTTGGGACATGGGCCTCCATGTAGGGCACAAGTATCACCTTCTCTCCTTCCAAGCTTACTCCTCTCATTTCCTCACTCTTACTTAGCAGCCCACCACCGATTATGCTTTGCTGCAAATCACACTCTCCTCTTTTTGCTGCCTTGCTCTCCATCCCTCCAAGAGATCTCGTGTTCTTGAATACTTGATAGCAATAAAATTAGGAATTGCAACGAGCAATTACAAAAAGGATTAAATTGTAATCATATATAAACTTACAGGGACCCGGTATGTAATTTTCAATATAAGGGATCAGCTAGTTGTTTCTCTAAGAACTCAGGGACTGAATAAGAGGTTTTATCGTATTCCTTGGGTTTGATAAAAATGGAGCTGGCCACTATAAGGGCCCAATTTGATCAAAAAGGCCCATCACCCTCTCCCAACCTCAGGTTGGTTTCAAAAGTCTGCAAGGGCCCACAAGTTCCGTTCAAGATTTAATTCACTGCTATCACCTGGGTAAATATCCAATCCAAAATATTGCACCATTAATTACGTCATCATATTTAAGTATTCCAATTTTCTCTTTTTTTTCCTTGAAATTATACTTTATATTCTTATCAATTTAAAAATTAAATTAAAATAAATAAAAAGATAATTTTATTCACGTATATAATATAACACCAATATGCTGATGATATATTAATTGTTTTTTCAATTTAATCCTTTTTTTATCTCTCCATTCCTATTTATCATTTGTAAACAATAAAAAATAATTTGGATTTATTTTTAGGGTTTTTAAAAATCCCATAACAGCATACTTTATGGGTTACAAACCCAGGAATGAAGATATTATAGCACTCGACCATGATTTTTTAACTTGAATTTTCCTAAAAATTAAAGCATAAATGGATAATAAATTAATAAGTTCAATTTTCCCAAACAAGAAGGCAGATGCTTAGCTCGAGAATACATTAAAACTCATGATTCCATAACAGGGGATCCAAACACAATGCAAGTTAAATTACAAACAGGTAATGGTGCTTTGGAAAGATAAATCATTTAGCAAGAAATCAAATGTGGTGGCCCTGCGATGATTGCTCATTCTACGAAGTGAAAAACCAGTTAGATAAATGTAATGTGGGTAATGTTTGGTTACAGTTCTAGAATAAAGAAGACAAGGATAGTAAAAAAAAAAAAAAAAATTTGGTCGAAGAAGAACAACCATAAAAATAAAATAGTTTATGATATAGTTTTAGAATTAATTTTTGTACATTTAAAATAGAATTTACAAAATTAACGTGCCTTCGAAGACTATTTTTTATTTTTTATTTTTTATTTTTAAAATATTCTTGTAAAAAACCTTTATTTTTAAAATTATCTAATTAAAATATATAAAAATTAAAATTATTATTACTATAAATTTAAAATCTAACTTATAAAGGTTAATATAAAACAAGATTCTGATCATGGATCAAGATAGTCAATCTAAAACAAGATACAAGTTAAGTTGATTATCAACATAGATTAATATAATAACAAAAATAGTTATTATCATAATTTTAAAATTCAATTTAAGGACAAAAATAATTATTATCATAATTTTAAAATTGAATTTGAGAGTATAAAGGTTAATATAAAACAAGATTCTGATCATGGATCAAGATAGTCAATCTAAAACAAGATACAAGTTAAGTTGATTATCAACATAGATTAATATAATAACAAAAATAGTTATTATCATAATTTTAAAATTCAATTTAAGGATTGATTCAAGATAAGATCTGAGTCATGGGTTGTTTAAATCAATATGAATTGTTATTTTATTTAAAAAAATACATAAACAATATGTCATCTGTTTAAAAATAATACTATCATTGATGCTTAAAATATCGACCTTATAGCTTTAACTTGATACTAGTTAAGGCCTTATAGCTTTAACTTAATACTAGTCAACAGAACTATGATAATGAATTATTACAAAAATAATTAAAAAAATAAATTGAAAAATATATATATTTGAATTAGATATTAATAATTAAAATAATTAAAATAAAAAAATTGTAGTTCTTTTATAATGTTTAAGTAATTGAATTAGATATTAATAATTAAAATAAAAAAATTGTAAAGTCAACAGAACTATGATAATGAATTATTATAAAAATAAATTAAAAAATATATATATTTGAATTAGATATTAATAATTAAAATAAAAAAATTGTAATTCTTTTATAATGTTTAAGTAATTGAATTAGATATTAATATATATTTGAAAAATATATATTATTAAAATAAAAAAAAATAATGAATTGTTTGATAAATGATAATATTTATATATTAAGAATTGACATGTGTTAGGATGTACGTCGGTATTTTTTCCTATAAAAATGATATTTGAGTGCCACAATTATATTTTAAAAAAAATAAGAGTAATTAATGATAGTACCGACTCATTTAATAAGTTAGTTTTATTTAATTTAAAGATAAAAAATATATAATGATATTAATTGAAAATTAAAAAAATTGATCACTTTACCTTGAAAACAAATATGTATAGAAGCATGAAATTAAATAAAAAAAAGGATAAAAAAATTGAACCAAGTCAACAAATGCTAAAAAAACAAAATAAGAGAAAAAAATAACAATTTAAAGATTCTAAAATAAAAATAAAAAACAATTTAAAAAACAATTAAAGGTTTTTTGATTGGAGGGTTAAATTGAAAAGAAAAATAACTTAAATAAAAAAAATAGAACAAAATTTAAAAAAAAAAACATACCATAAACTTGAATTAAAAAGTAAGATTAAAAATTAATAAAATTTTTATAAAATAATTAAAAAGGAAAATTGAAAGAATAAATAACACGCAAGAAAACAATATTTCAACAAAAGGAAGGGGAAATAAGAACAAAAATGAAAGGCGTGGAACTGATTACCATTACTATTCCTAGTTGTGATGATAGGAGATTATTATCCTTTCCCCATGTCATGCTCCAAAGGCCAAAAAAAAAAAAAAAACTAAGAAAAATACATGATTTACTTACATTGCGAAGTTAAGAGTTTTATGATTGGTTGAAATTTATATATCTAGTGTATGTACATAAGATGTTGTGTGGTTCAATGGTCGTAAATAAATGTTTGATATTATATTGTATTACAAAATATTTTTTAATTAAAAATATATTAAAATAATTAAATTAAACAAAAAATAATTTTTTTATTAAAAATATATTAAAATATTAAAAAAAATATTTTTCAATTAAAAAACACAAACATAGATACGAAGACTGCAAAAAAAAAACCCAAGAAAAAAAAAGCCAGGAACAATAATGCCCTTGACAAAAACAGAAAACACGAAAAAGTTCAGCTTCAAAAGGACATAAATATCCTTCAATCAAAGGCTTTCATGTCGTTGATTTGAAGGACATTTAAGTAATTTTACCGGACATTAAAATACATATATATCTAAGGGCATTTTAGTATTTTTACTTTTCACACAAAACAAAACGACCCCATCACCCTTCCAAGGCAGCCAAATGTTATTTGGTTGAGTGAGAAGATAATAATTATACTGCTGAATCCAGAGCGAGATGTATATTATGATACAATGACAGTTACTTGCTCAGACCTGTGAAGTGTAGCAAGCAATCCAAGAATCAAGATTTTTCCACTTATAATGGCTTAGCTTCAAAGCCAAGCAGCAGACTAAAGGCACCTGGAGAAAATTATTCAAGAAAATGATAGGAACTCTGTATGCTATCCACAAGATGATGGCACACTACAAAGACGACTCACCGTTACGTATCCACTACTCATAAACAAACAAGTGCTGGACTCTCCTTTTCTTATCCACCGAATTATCACTCGAAACTGCCTTCCCTTCAAAGTTAAGCACCACAGGAACCTCCACAGTATTGATTCTCATAGTTTATTTTTGCTCATCATGATAACGTTCTACCACTCTTTCCTGAAAATAGCATCATACACCTAACACACAAGTGTTAACAAAAGAGAGCTTGCTGCTGCCTCGATCCTTCAAGGCTGTGCCATCCCTTTGTCTTGTTCATCATTCTTCCACCGAAATGCCTCTCTTGTTCGCCCTTGTCCTCTTCCTTGTCTCCTTTCATGTTCGAACTGCATTTTCTGCTCATTGCAGCATCACCACACCCACTAAGACCTTTGAAAAATGCATGACACTCCCTACCCAGCAAGCCTCGATAGCTTGGACATTTCATGCCCACAATGCCACCCTAGACCTTGTATTTTCTGGTACCTTCATCTCACCTTCCGGTTGGGTAGGGTGGGGAATCAATCCTTCCTCGGCTGAAATGACCGGTACTCGTGCCCTGATTGCCTTTCCAGACCCCAATTCAGGTCAGCTAGTCCTTTTACCTTTTATTTTAGACCCAACAGTAAAGCTTCAAAAATCACCACCCCTCTCTCGCCCTCTAGATATCCACCTTCTATCCTCCTCTGCCACCCTCTATGGTGGCAAAATGGCCACTATACACAATGGTGCCGCCATCCAAGTTTATGCCACATTAAAACTTGTACCAAACAAGACCAAAATTCACTTCGTGTGGAACCGTGGACTATACGTTCAAGGTTACTCCCCAGCTATCCATCCGACGACCTCCAATGACCTATCTTCCATTGCCACCATCGATGTCTTGTCTGGTTTCAGTGCTGCCCATAGAGATGATACCAGGACATTAAAGATAGCACATGGAATCTTAAATGCTGTCTCGTGGGGTGTCTTACTCCCAATTGGAGCTTCGACTGCAAGATATTTGAGGCACATACAAGCACTAGGGCCAACATGGTTTTATGTACATGCAGGGATACAACTCTGTGCTTTTATCATAGGAACTGTAGGGTTTGCCATTGGAATTAGACTAGGGGAATTATCACCAGGAGTGGTTTATGGGCTACACAGGAAGCTTGGTTTCGCAGCATTTTCCTTTGGGGCTTTGCAAACACTAGCACTGTTGTTTAGGCCTAAAACCACTAATAAGTTTAGGAAGTACTGGAAATCTTACCACCATTTTGTAGGGTATGCTTGTGTGGTGCTAGGAGTTGTGAATGTTTTTCAAGGATTTGAAGTGATGGGAGAGAGCAGGTCTTATGCAAAGTTAGGATATTGTCTGTGCCTAGCAACATTGATAGGAGTTTGTATAGCTTTGGAAGTGAATTCTTGGGTGGTTTTTTGCAGAAAATCGAAAGAAGAGAAGCTCAGAAGAGAAGGATTGATTAGCTGTGGGTCTGGAAAAGGAAGTGGGATCCATGGTTAAGAAATTAACCTCTGAATTCCAAAAAAG